AGAAAAGACTATGCCCTGCCTTTGTAATACATGGATTTCCTTTACTACGTGTATGTAATGGATTTTCATAGAATCATAGAATGGTTTGGGTTGGAAGGGACCCTAAAGATCATCTAGTTCCAACCCCCCTGCCATCAGCAGGGACACCTTCCACTAGACCAGATTGCTCAAAGCCTCATCCAGCCTGGCCTTAAACACTTCCAGGAAGGAGCAGCCACGACTTCCTTGGGCAACCTGTTCCAGTGTCTGGCCACCCTCACAGTGAAGAACTTCTTCCTAATATCTGATCTAAACCTCCCCTCTTCCAGCTTAAACCCATTTCCCCTTGTTCTGTCACTCCCTGCCTTTGTAAAAAGTCCCTCCCCAGCTTTCTTGTAGCCCCTTAAGGTATTGGGAGGCCGCTATAAGATCTCCCCAGAGCCTTCTCTTCTCCAGGCTGAACACCCCCAACTCTTTCAGCCTGTCTTCATAGAAGAGGTGCTCCAGATTTTAAAATATATTTCTATAAATATGTATCATAATATTTATTCTACATATATATTTATATAAATATGCATGTGTATTATACATATTTATATAAATATATATACTGTATACTTAAAAATCTGTTGTTAGAGGTCATTGTATTACTGCATAAACATTATTGTTATATGGATGGGCTCTTCAACTTGTACATCCTGATCTATTGGCTCTGTCGTGCAGCGATGGGGAAAGTTTGTCATTTAAATCTGATTAAATTGTGATTTAAATAATAAATTGTTCTCAGTGCTGAAAGATTAACAGTGTTCTTAGGTTTTCATCTGGCTGCGTGCTGCAGTTGTTATGGTGATTTAGATAAAATCATTGATGTGCTGGTTTTCTCTGGATCTGGCTATGCTAGGACTAAAATATATCAAGAAAAGTTATTTTAAAAATCCCTACTTCAAGTGAAGAACAAATACTGACTTATTTGAAATGAGAGATCAAGTTTTAGGTGTAATTTTAATCTGTTGGGTTTTTTTGGTCACTGCTGCTTAGCATTATACTTAATACTCAACATCGTTTTACTTTTCTTTCTTAAGAGAGAGGAAGAGTTGGTATCCTCAAAATGAAATGTGTTGAAATGATTTATGAAGGGGAAAGTAGGATTATAGTGAGTGGGTTTTGCTGGTCTTCTTTTCTTTATTTGAAGCAATTATTCTACCTACTGGTGCAGTACAAGCAATGGGAGAGATCACCAAAACAATTCACAGACTCACAGAATGGTTGAGGTTGGAAGGGACCTCTGAAGCTCATCTAGTCCAACCCCCCCTGCTCAAGCAGGGTCTCCTACAGCACATGAACCAGGATTTTGTCCAGATGGTGTTTGAATATCTCCAAGGAGGGAGATTCCACAACCTCTCTGGGCAGTTGTTCAGAGAAGGGAATGGGTTTGCTCCCTGTAAATTAGATTCTGCAACGTACTGAGAGCATCCTTATCTTTTCTCAATATTTCTGTCTGTCCTGCTCTGTCTCTGTCCTGCTCAATATTTCAGATTTTTTATTTTTTTTAGAGATTTGAGATTAAATCCTCTCCCCATTGAACCAATGGAAAAACATATTTGGGTCCAGAATTTTTTCATTTCTGCTCTGAAGAGAAATCTTCCAAAATACCCATATTAAAGAGGAAAGATTACATTGTGATTGTGCTGAGTAAGAGGGTTTAACTTGTAAGCAGAGTGGTTCAAACATGTGACAGTGGATGGAGAGGGGAGGATGGGGAGCTTACACTGGCTTGCCAACACATTTTAAATTATCACTGTTTAGTTTTCACCGAGAATCTTACTCTTGCTGTGATTGTTGACTGCACTTTTCACGGATAAGGAAAACAACCTTACCTAAACATCAACTTCACCAGAAATTAATGCTGACTGCCTGTCTAATGTTTGAGTGTGATAGTTCAGGTGGACATGCACGTATATTTTTGAAAATTCCTTTTTTATCAATGTTGTTTTTTTAGCCTCTCTTCTGGTTGTGTACTTGTAATGTAGTAGAAGAAAATATCAATGCATTTTAAAAGAAAAACTTATCATGTTCGTTCCTAAATGTAGGAACTGAAGTACATTTATTCTTGCCTGCACTTAACATTTTCTTAGTGTGAGTTAATGAATGTCTAGTAAATTTATTCTGGCTGGGAAGTCCCTCTAAAGTCAAGGACCCAAAACAGATTGCCTGGACTTTTTTTTTTTTCATTCTGGAAGCAGGATAGGACTGTGTATTAGTAGGTGCTTGGCATCCAAACCATTAGGTTCAATACAAACTGCATATAAAATGTTGGTTAACACAGCAGAATTACAGAAAAAGAAAAAGTCAGTTCCAGACATTCTGTTTAGGGAGGTTTTTTTAAATTTTATTTTATTGTAACTTGGTAATCCACAAGAGTTTAAATATTTTGTGCAGTGAAGAGCACAGTTATTTCTTTCTCCACTAAATCACAACACAATTATTGATTTTAGCTCTGAAATCCATCAGGATCTATCTGCTTACAGAACAAGTTACTCTGAAAAGGCAGAAAGCATTGCCATCAAAACCCCTTAACAGGCATAATCGGTATTTCCAGCTGGAATGAAGATCCCTGACACTTGGAAGAGTAAGAAATGAGTGGAGATTCCACTTCGTGTTTTATGTAGTTTATTCTGAAGTCTCTTGAGTTGTTCAGCTCTGAATTTAATTTTATTGAGGAGTCTTTCTTAATTCACTTGAGGAGACAAAATCTGCTCTGGCAGTCACCTCTGAAAACTTGCACCTATTTCTTTGTTCCTATTGACAACTGAGCTTTATTAAAAGATTTTATTTCTCATGTTTGCAGGCATTTTTTTGTGGTGCATATATGTATTAATGACAAACAGGGAAATTGAAGTGCATGTGTCTGCATGCACATGCATATATGTGTGGATTTACATACAATCCATTGTATTTAAATTAAAAATGAGCTGCTCTTTCTTCATTCTGTGAAGAGGGAGAAAAAGAGCCAAGAGCAGGTTCTCTTTTGTAGTCCCATCCCCCTGTCATGCTTGGTCTCGGGTTTGAAGTGGAAGCTGAGAAAAAAACCACTTTTTTTTTTTTAAGTTGCCTTTACTAGGAGCACTGAACTGTACAGTTTGCACACACAGGCTGAGAGAAGAATTTTACTGAGGCCCCAGTTGTGCAAAAACTCAGAAGTGGTAGAACTGAGATTCTCTCCACCCCATTATTATCACTTTTGTACATGAGCACTGCTCAGTTGTAAGATTTTCAAGATCTGGAGTATTTGGTGGCTTTGTTTTGGTTTTTGTTTGTTTGTTTGGGTTTTTGTTTGTTTATTTTAAGGCTACTCAATGTTATTACAACACTTTGGTTTTGAAATAATATTTTTTCTATGCAAAGGATTCCTGGCTGCAATTGATGCAAGTCTGCAAATTGAGCTGTAGAAATCAAGCAGGATGTCTAGATGATGAGGAACACTCAGGGTGAGTTTCAGCTGTGATAATTCAGTCATCTGCAAGTTGGACTTAGAAGTCTGAGCTCTCTTCAAGAGATGATGGAAAGAAACGGATCAGATGAATCATCCTCTGCAGGTGTCTGTTTTCTCTGATTATGCAGGTTGGATAAGGCTTTGAGCAACCTGGTCTAGTGGAAGGTGTCCCTGCTGATGGCAGGGGGGTTGGAACTGGATGAGCTTTAAGGTCCCTTCTAACCCAAACCATTCTGTGGTTCTATGAATTGTCCTACCCTTCCTAACTTTAAACATGTCTTCTAATTGATTATTTTGGTTGGAATGCAAAATACGAGTGTAATTCTGTAAGTGTTTGGAAGTAATGATGTCTTCGTTCCTTACTTACAGTATTTCTCTGTCAGGAATGATGCTTTGAAGGTGTTCACTGAAATCTGAAGGACTCGGGGTTTCCTCTGTATTCGATGGACAGCAGCTCCTGCAGAGGATGAATCCAAACCCCTCTCTCTTGGCCATGCAGTGAAATAAAATACCTGATTGATGACTTTAATGTAGATGCTCCTTGTCAATATCTGTGTTTTAAGATTTAGGAACCATGCTTTATTTATTGCTAAGGTTAATTCTACTGCAAGAATCCAGTAATAATTCTGTAAACAGTGTTTTCAGCTAGCCAGTTTGAACCTGAACAGCATCAGATTGTATGGTACAATCCTCCTCTGTATTGCAGATACTCACATGGAGCTTCTAACATTTTAATTTTTCTTATACTCTGTGATTTGACAAGGAGAGCAGGGAATTCTCAGGATTTACGTGTGTACTAAATGGCAGGCAGGTTTTCTGCTCCTTCTCTGGATGCTAATTCCAGTGCTTGTCTCTCTTTTGGGAATCAAATGCTCTTCTGTTTTGCTTAATGGCATATTTTGTTTAAAAGGCACTATGGATTCTTGATAACTACCTACAAGTCAAGGTCTAGATGCCCTCCTCCCCCTGGAAAAATTAATATTTTTTCTATTGCTTGGTTTTTTTTCCCCCACCCCCTTGCTTAATTATCCATTGTGGGTTACTCACCTTTAGCTCAGGACTCTGGTCATTCACCACATCTTTATTTTTTTTGTGCATATTTTCAAGGTCTCTTTTCTGATGTGAGGAATAAGAAACTTGAAATAGATACAGCAAGTAACAAGACTGATTTCTTGTGGCGTTTTCTTGTCCTTTGTGCTTTTTTCCAAGTTGGCAACAGTTGTAGAAAGAGTGACACCATGTGTTAAGGGTGAAGAATTTAATTTTTATTGATTTATTTCCCATTTTTTCTTCAGTACTCTCATCCTTTAAGGTGTTCTTATTTTATCATCCATCAGATGTTAAGATTTTCTGTATGCTTGCTTTGTCATGCATTTTTATTTTCCATGGATACATGGAAAATTTCCATTTATGCATTTTACAGCTCACTAGTTTATAGCTAAACATCCTTCAAGAGAAGTTGCAGTATCTTTAAACAGTTGATTTTATGGATAAATTTGTGTTCAGATTTTGTTTAGTAATTTAAGAAATGCATATCTGGAAAGAAGAATTGAGAAAAGTGACTGGAAACCCAGTAGGAAAAGAAGATGAAAGGATGGTACTGTGAAGACGCTGGTTGTGAGGATCTGTGGTACACTTGTAGTGCAGTGTGAGGAGTACAAGGGTCCCTATTTCTAGGAGAAAGAGGTAAATGACAAATAAATGAAAGGTGTAATTGAAAGGTGAAATTGAAAAGCAGGATTTCTTGGGAAAAGGAAGTAATTTAGTCCAATGTGTAGAACTCATTGCAGTCAAGGTTATAAATATATTTAAAAGCAGTATTTTGCTGTTAGTACAGTTTCTGAGATTATTCACTATCTGGCAGGGTAAAATAGAGGCTTGCACATGCTAGAGTGTTACCTGGGCACGAGCCCCTGGGGGGCTGAGAAGCCAAATCTGATTTCAGGATGTGTGTGCCCAGCAATAAGCCCTGCTGACATTGCAGGTGCAGCAGTGTGCTGCTGGCTGCTCTGTGTGCGTGCAGGGGAGAAGGTGTTCAGCTGCTGTGTGATGTTTTCTGCTTGAAGATCTGAGTCGTATTTCTCTTGAGGAAAAGATACTAGGCTGGATGGAAGCACCTGGAGAAGCCAGAGCTGCCCAGGCTCTGTCAGTTAGACCACACATGAGTCAGTCTGTGGGTGCTTTGGAGGAAGAGACAAGGGTTGGTAGTAGGAAGGAAAACCTTTGATTTGTCCCATTGCTAAAGGAGAGGTGCTGGGCTGAATCACAGAGGCTTGCTTGTTTGGTGACAGCAATGTGTTCTTTTTTTGCCTCCCTTATGTTTTCTGTTTGTTTGTTTTAGGTTGAATTTTCCTATCCTCCCCTAAAGCCTGGAGAAGGACATGACAGCCACAGTTTACCAGAGGAATGGAAATATTTGCCATTTCTCGCCTTACCAGATGGCGCTCACAACTATCAGGAAGGTAAGGAACGAGAGAGGAAGTTGTAGGTACTATTTCTACTACAACCAAAATCAAAATCCTGATGTCTGAACAGTTGAGCAATGATTCTTTTTGCTCTTAGACGTCCTGTACTTTTTGTTTAAGCTGTAAAGTACATTGTCAATGATATGTTACTTTGGAGTTTAAAGTGAAGGTAGATCGGAAAGGTGCAACTCCTACCTCAAGAAATCAGATGTCAATAAAAGCTTAAGGGTTACATGTCTTGGGAGTAGTCTTAGCGCAGAACAAGGCTATCAGCTTTCTCAGAAGTTCTTTGAAGAGGGAATAAACTTTTGAGTAAAACCTAATCCAGCTTTGAGGTAAGGGAAAAATGAAACTCTAAAATTCAGCTATGTAAGGTATGTAGTCATTATGACTTTTTTTTTTCCCTCCTCAACTAATTTAGAGATTCTTAGAATGACCTACAAGTCATTCATTGTCTGCAGAATGACATATTTTGAAAACCAGCAAGTGTGAAGGGCAGGAACAGGAGCTTTAGTGTCTTTTGTCAGCAGAATGAAGATAGAATGATTCTTTTGCCATGTACTTACCAGCAAGTTCACTGCAGTTACATTATTTGTTTAGTATTGCGTTTATTTCTTGTTTATTTGACAGCAGTTCAGTTCATTGCCGTGACATTTATATGCGTGTTCAGTTGTTTCATCTTTTTTTTCTGCAAAGCAGTGAAAGAGAAGTCACTGAAAACAGCAAAGTCGCAGAAACCCTTTAATACTACTTGTAATAAGATTACTTTTTTCAACTTGATGTACTTACCTTCCTAATTCTCCAGCTTCCAGAGACCTCACTTATAAGCAAAGGAAGTCATATCAAAATAATCCCCTTCCTAGCAGTCATCAGAGGCTCTCTGACGCTGCTCTGGGTCATGATTTTTGTTCAATTTCTGTGTTAAATACATAATGAGAAGAGGGCTACATTGAAGACTAGGAAATTCATAGGCAGCTGCTCTTAACTTTTCTCTCTTGGCTCAGTAACATCCCAGTTAATGCTCAACTTGGAGCATTTTTATTGCTGCACTAAAAGATTATCAATGTGTGTTTTGGTCAGAGAAAAAAAAAAAAACAAACAGACTTGGCAACAAAACTGATATATATCCTTGTGTTTTATAGGCAAGAATACACATGAACTTGAAACAGGCAAATATGTTTCAGATAATAGTTATGTTACATTTATTGTAGCTTTATTAGATAATCTGTTTTTTGAGTTTTTAACTAATTCCCATTCATAGTTGCATTTTTGCAAAGAGGATGACTTGGTACAGGAAATAGTCTTAGAGGCTTTCTAAAACTCTAGGTGATCTCCAGAATATAAACAAACATGTTCAAGGAAGTAAGTTTTGTTATAAACAGTCCCTCTTTCGGTTGGACTTAATGCATCTGAGATTGTCTCTTCTGTTCATTTTGTTGCTATGAAGCAAACAAAACATTACTAGTTGGTTTCAAAACAAATTTCACTCGTGTTTTGAAAGGCAAACAGTCACAATATCCTCTGCTTTATTGAGAATTTAGTAACTTTTTTTGCAGTAGTAGCAAGTGCATATGTGTGTATATATCTCAAGCAGTAACAGCCTTTCTCATGTCACATTTTACAGATTTATTTTTTTTTCTTTCATGTCACACTTGCACAGTGACAGTAATTATTTTGTGTGAGACTAGGATTCAGAAATCCTTTTTCTTAGCAGAGTAGTGGGCTGGTGTGTGAATATCTACCTTAGCAGTGGCAGCAGATACTCTCATCTTTACACTGTATATGTCCTCCTTGTTGGGTTTTTTTTTCCCTCTCTCTTAATTGCATTTACCTTTTTAATGACATCACACTCCAACTTTACACCTTGCCTCGTAGTGCCTTGTCTTTGCTCCTTCACACTGAGTTGGAAAAGCAGCATGCCTGTAGATTTCAGTTGGTGCTTCTCTGCTGTCAATAGCTGCTTCTGAGAACCTGTCAGTGGGCTTGTTGGAGTCTGGTCAGGCTAAACATGAGGCTGTTGTCAGAATATTCATATTAGCACAGCTGGAGATTCTCCCACAAAACATCTTGTGGTTTGGAAACTAATTTGGGTGCAGGCATAGCTTTATAGATTTTTTCTTTCTTTGTTTTTTTGTTTTGTTTTTTAAATCTCAGAAAACAAATGTGGCAGTATTTTCAGCAGTAAGCCTTTTATAAATGCTTTTATTTTTATGATGCTAAAGATAAAAATACTGAACTCTTGTTAGTGACTAACGAAACAATCTTTTTTTGTTTTCATAGATACTGTGTTTTTCCACTTGCCACCGAGATGTGGGGATCGAACCACAGTTTATGGTGTCTCTTGCTATAGGCAGATTGAAGCGAAGGTAACTTTCCAAGTTGTGAATTATATTAATGAGATAACAGGCTGGATGCATTAATAACCCTAAAATTCAGTGATTTGAATTACACCAACAGTCAAGCTGCATGGTCAGCTTACATTAAAAATCTATGAAAATGTATGCAGAACTTGAAAACTGTTTCATTGGCTTATGGCAGCAGGCATATTGTGATCTTTTAAAATGTTCAAGGCAATTGAAAAAAAACATGTTTTGGTTCTTGAGAGCTAATCCAGGCATCAGCACCAAGTAGCAAGATGAAGCTGACAGTCTGTCAGGCGGCCAAGTCACCTTTCCACAATGTGAAATTTCAACTTTTTCGCCCCTTGGGTGAAAAAGTTGAAATTTTTCCAGTGTGTGACCATTAAGAATTTTGGAGTATTTCCTGGGATCTGACCGTGCCAGTGCAGGGATGTTTCTCTTCACTACACTTGCAGAGTAGACTGGAATCTTCCCATTCATTTTTGCTGATTACTGATACTGAACTTTTAGCAGTGAAACTGAAAAAATGATGACAGCTACAGTGTGCACCTGATCACACTGTGGAAATTATGTACTTGATCTACTAGAATGTGCCCATACTTTCAAAAGTAGTGACAGTAGTATGAGCTGTGCACTTACAGCTGAGAAGTTATTACAAATTTATTTTACAATTACACCCATTTCCATGAAAACGACAAGAATTTGGAATGCCATGTGGGTTTGAGTTTTAAATGAGTCTTGTATTCAGAAGATGTAAATGATGTACTCTGTTTTAGTGTTAACCATACCTTGATTATATTTCAAGTTCCTGTTTATGCTATAGGAGAAATTTTACCCATGTAGATTTAAATTCTGCTTCTTTTGAACTAAACCCGTGTTGATTTTAGTTCACTCGTTATCTTTGCAGCCAGTCTTCGCTGCATTCTGTGATTTAGAGTCTTACTCTATTTAACTATGCAATAACTTGGCTTTATTGTGCTCTTGATTCCAGTTTATGCTGTTTAGTAACCAATTAAGAAGATAAATAGATGTTTAAAATGAACTCTTTGGAACAAGTCGAATATAAAACAA